GAGTCTTGTTGGGTTTTGCGATAAAAACACCATCATAAAACACTAAAACAGAAGAGGTTATTGGATAGGCTAGGAGTAGGGTATATACAGTACCAGGTAAGTGGTCATCTGCCCGACATCTCCCCACAGATCCACATGGAATATGAACTGTGTTTTACTAGTCCAACCATGTTCTAAACGCATGTCCACGAGATGGATGATGAACTTAGTCGCAGTAGTCACTAACACACATACCACCACTTCCAAAGCATCACCAACAGCCTGGATTCGCTTACATGCTGTTAGTCCCATAGTCACTGCCTCGAACAGGCACCAAGTATAGAAGGAAGAGTGTGCACTTGAAAGGCCATAGAACGTCGCTGAGAACTCATCACTGTTGTATTTACATACTACTACTAGTACTATTACATATCCCTATCATATCAAGCATACCACATAGGAAAATAAGCCCTGCTAGTCTCACCAGGGAGGAGAAGCTTGTGAAGCCCAGCTCGAAGATCTGAGAGGTCTAGTAGTAGAAGGTAACACCACGATACTACTACTTACATGTCCAACACGTATTTGTGCTACTAGATGGAATACCTTTAGGCATATAGCGAGGCACACATACCTCACAAGCTGGACTGTACTAACCTCCTAAAGGGACCACAGGTAGAGGGTTGCATCCTCTACTACTACTTACTCTATCGTTAATGGTAGGAGAATAGAAGACCAGGAATAGTATAGTGTCAGCTACAAAGCCACGACCCGAGTCGATAAGTTGCTGAAACATGAATGGATCATATTGTATTATTACGTGTATTACTTCGACTTCTAAATCACGAAGATGCCCAACAAATAGCCGCAGTAGTAGTTTATTCATGAGTACTATCAGGCCGAAAGCAAAATTGTAAATTATCTAAAAAATCGACGTTTGTCCCCGAGATTGTATTAGTGCTCACCGCCAACGATATCTTATCTTGCGACAGGTGTACTACTATTGGATAGAACTGTTCGAATTGAACAGCTGCATATACCACACTCACAGTTAATACCTGACAGGCACTCAGTGAAGGAGTAAGGTACTGGGCACACTTATTACCACTGTGCTGAGGAAGAAATATGCTGAGAATGAAATACGCATCTTGGGGATTAGAGGCATAAATACATCTACTACACAAAGCGGTAAATAGTATGAGCAACTCAACACATACTATGAGATGGAATACTATAAGTCGAAGAAACTGTCCTGGAAGGGCTTAGCCTTAGCCTTCTGCTTGGTAGGGCCGCCTCGGAGGGCATCTCTAGCCTTACTCAATGAACTTGCAGGTCGTGATGCATTCAATAGGGCATCTGCAACAATGCACTACATCTCATAGGAACGATGACCCATGATACTACTTTTGTTCTTTTTCTTGTTCTTAACCTTAGCCCGGGTCTTAGGCTGTTGTTCCTGCGCTGTTTTCGGCAACTCTAGCACTAGCTTTTCGGGAGCATTCTCCTGCGGCGTGAGCGTAGTAGGTAACACGGGAGGACCGACCTAACGAAGTGACAATAAGACAACACCATCACAGGCCCTGGAGGTGAAGCCTTCGTATACAGA